GGAAAAATTCATTGGTTCCCGCGTTCGAAAAACCGGGGGCTTCCATTAGGTCCCCGCGGGGAAACACTGGCGCCTCCCCGTATGTTTGTTGGCGCGCCGGCCCAATCCCTTTTGGGTTTTGCTTCAAAAAGGAACACCCCCCCCCCCGGGGCCCCCCCCCCCCCGCCTGCCTATCTCCACACACAAAGGATACGGCCCAGGTGAATAAACCACGACACTTCAATCAGCCTGCGCGACCCAATCCTCGCTCCCTTACTTGCCGCACTTTTCGCTCAGCGCTATGCGTCGCAGCACGATCCCACCCCGCTCTGCGAAGCCTGATCGCGCCACCATGCCCCTACCCGCCGAGCCGCCGCAGCGCAAGATGTTCCACTGCATCGTCGACGACACGGCCCTGATAGCCGGCGTCAAGAAGAGCACCCGCGACGGCATTCGCAAGTGGGTCTCGCAGGGTGCTATCCGCCTCTACGTCCCCCTCCACAGTATGCAAGACGGCGGCTCCTTTGGTCTATCATCATGCTATACTGACACTCACACTAGCACTCACTCAGCTCCACCGCCTGACACGCGGCACGGAGCGCATCAATGCCGACGCCCGCGAGGCCGTCAAGTGGCTGGACGAGGTCACGTCGTTGCCCGCCGCCGAAGAAGCGGATCGCGTCCAACTCGAGGGCGTCGACGAAGCCTACACCAAGTGGGAGCATGTGGAGCACTTTTTACTGCCAGAGACCCTCCTCTCTATGGAAGACAGCGATTCAGAGGGAGACGACTATCATGAAGACCTGGAGAGTTCTTTCAATGCGCTCGACATGTCCGATGGAACCTCGATGAGCTCAACACACAGCTACGAAGACGCGCCCAAGACTCCAGGCTCGCCACGCTCGTGCATGAGCAAGAGCCTAAACTCGGCCGAGGCAGCCGTTGGCGACGATAAGATGGCTGTTCTCACAGCCAACTCACCTGACCAGACCGCCCGCACCAGCACCGAGGTCGACCACACCAATCAATCGACAAAAGGTGCTGTGCCAGTCTACCTCCGTCCTCTCTTCAACCACATACTGTGGCGCATCAACAAAGAGAACAATCCCGACGCAGCCCTCGAGTCCTTCATTCTTCTCACCAATGACCCCATCAAACAGATGATCGCACAAAAATTCGGCGTGCGAGCCAAGCGCCTCGAGCAGTTGCGCGACGCTGTTGTCCGCGAGGATCGCGAATACAAAAACCACATCACCATGCACAAGCTCGAGGTTGAGTCCAATGCGACCAAGGAGATTACGTCATCTATGCCCAAGGCGACAGAGCGGCCGAAGTCGAGCCCAGGAACCAAGTCAAAGCCTCAGGAGAACTCTGACGACGAGGACATTGTACTCTTTTCCCGCGCCCCGCGTGGTCCAGCCGCCAACACCGCAGCCAGCAAGCAGCGCGTCTTTGACCCCAACGACTTCGCCCGCACCAACCCACACAACTCGTCACGTGGCGGTCGCGGAGGCGCGCACATGCCGCCTCGAGGCCGTGGCGGTCCCCCAGCCTCTAGAGGACGCGGTACCTTTGCCCCACGCGGCGCCTACGTTGCCCCAGGACCAACCTTTCGTGCCCCACCCGCCCCTCGCCACGACCCCAACCAACCCCTCGACCCAGATTCTTTCGCGCGTCCAGTCCCTAAGGTGAGCCCCGTACGCGGCGGCGGGAGGAGAAAACTCTGGGAACCGAATTAGGAAGACGGAGAGAAGCGTCAGTATTGGCGCACTTGGCATACACCACACTCAAAGGCGGGCGAATCGTCACAGACGACGACTCGGTCGGGAAGAAAACAACGACGAGTTTCGGAAGCTGATGCTGTTGCCTGAGGTTTTTGTGAACGCTGGATCCGCTCGTCTGTGGGGGGAAGGGGAGAAAGCTTGCGTTTCTATGATCGATCATGGCGTTTCTATGATCGATCATGGCGCACTCTGTGTGGTGAGGATGATGGAGAAGTAGGAGGAGGAAAAGGAGGAGAATGAGGGATTAGCGGGTTGATGGGCAAGAGGCTAACCATCTATTGTTTCCCATGGGATGGTGAAGAAGGTTTCCCCATCCCCAACCCCAGCCCTGTTGTTCCCTCATGCCCTCACTCTCTTTTTTAACAGCCCTGGTCCTCTAGAGGAAAGATGGGAGATCGCAATACCGGCTTTGCAGCTGCTGCGAATGGCTCGGGCTTGCTGTTACACACATTTTTTTTCATTACTTTTTTCAAGTTGTTTCCGTTGACCTTGACTTCGTTCCTTTTTCATATCAGGCCTTGAACCCACTACCCATTCGTTTCCAATACTATCTGGTTTGGACGATATGCCGTAGGGGAAGAATGGGGTGGAGTGTAGTGGAGAGTGCAGAGAGGCGATTTTGATGTGATTGATGGTGATGGTGGTGGAAAAGTAGGGAGGACTCACGATTCTGTAGTTTTGGTTGAATATCCTTTCATCATGGATCTGTTTGCACCATGTGACTTGCTTACTTTGATGATCATGATGCTTCTTCTGTTCTGATTCCCGGTAGGAAAGTAAAGCATGTGAGGTAAGGGTAGGTCGACTAGTTTGATAAGCAAAAAGGAACGAGGAAAGAAGGGGTTGTTTTGCTATTGGTTATTTATGACTAGCTCATTAGTCTTGCAAATCCAGGCAACTCAGACCTACATGCGTGGAGTCGAAATAATGGCAGTTCAGTTTGATACTTTATACTATTTCTAGGAGAAAGTATAAACTATTGTATGTAGTTCAAATTGATAATCCTAGACCCCAAGCTCGTGACTTATCTTAGCAAAGGCAGCGACTTGCTCATCGTAAGACTCGTCCTAGTATTCGGAAGAAACTATCTTAATAAACTCTTCTTCCTCCTTGTCATAATCTTCCCGAACACCAGCATCAAAGCCATAGATGGTAAGTGATTGATCCATGTCCATGGTGACAGCCTGCATCCATCTAGGAAACCATCCACAGTCTGTCTGTCGTGTCACGTATATCAAAGTTGCCAAAAATTGTGCGTTGCAGAAGTCGCTGTAGCTGCTATATGGACCATTTATCCCATGAAAACGATTGAGAATGAGATTAGGACAAGGGTTAAATTCTACCTATTATTACTTCCATGATTGTTTTCCATCCCATCACAATAATTCTGCGCCTCTTCCACCAACCACGTTGAGAAAAAGTGCAAGTGAAGTGAATACGATGAAGTCATGGAAAATTCGATTTGAAATAAAGCGCGGAATGAAGAGTAGAAAGAAAACTACTTAAAACCACGTCAGACATGCACAATCATCGTCATTGTCATGTGTTTGTCCGTTGTGATCGTGTCTGTCGTAATCGTCGTATGCGAAACCTGGTCCCAATCCCATACCAATACGCAAAGCCAAGAGAAAAATGACAATAATCTTGAACCGAAAATACTATCCAACGCCCATTACTCGTAAATAAATAAGAAAAGAGGCACTTTTAGTCGTACAACATCCTCCTCTGAAAAAACAAACAAACAGTTAGCTATACAACCCTATTCACAACATTCTCCTCCATACCCTTTCATCACCTCCACCTAACAATCGGCGCCGTAATCCACCTCCTCCAACTAGGCCATGACCCGCCATTGCGCGGGTACCCGTTTTCTTCCTCCGACACCGCACCCTCTTGTACACCGGGATCTTCGTCTTCACGACCATAGGGCCAGAGCTGGCGATTCGCAGGATATCCATCGGAGCTGTAGTCGTATTCATCAGTATCTTGTTGGGTGGGCTGGTCGACTACGCCGGCATAGGGGATGGCATGGTAGCCTAGGCCTTGGTCTGCAGGCGGCGGGGGAATTTGGTCCTGATTTTCATTCTCGGGGCTTGAGGCGTTGTCGGTGGGCTGTGGTGGGGAATTGTCGTTAGCAGGGTTGGGAGGCTGGTTATCTAGTTGCTCGTTTGCGGCGTAGCCAGCTCCGTAGTTGGGGTCGCTTTCTGGTTGCTCGTTGGTTGGATATCCGTCGCTGTGGTTTGGTTGTTCGGCTGGGGGCTGCTCATTCACGGGATAGCCTGACCCGGCGTCCTCTGGTGGGGGGCGCTGCTCCGGTGGGTTAGCAGGGTAGCCATCAAGGTATCCATCAGGATATCCGTCAGGGTACACGGGTTCTGGGTTCCAAGGTTGGCCGGGTCGAGGGATGTGATGCGGAGGATGGGGCCTGTGTGGTAGTTTGGTAGGCCAGGGGTATGGCTCATATGGCTGACCATACGGGAAGCCATCAGGGAAGCCATTTCCATCGACACCATCACCTGGGAAACTGGGCGGTCGGTTGCCCACGGGTCTTCGAGTTCGCGTGTAGGTGCGCGTGCGTGTGCGCGAGGGCCTCTGCGTGGGAACCGAAGTAGTGGCCAAATTTGTAATAGTCAGGACGCTCGAGGTGCTGATGATTGAGCCCAATCCAAATGCAGAACTTGTCACTGCGTCTGGAATTGAGGTGGGGATTGTAGGGATGGCGAAGCTCTCATCCGTAGTGGGAATGACGGTGCCAGGTGGAATAACATCGACTAATGAACCGATGCCAAAGGAGAAGCTTGATGTTGCTCTAGTTGTAGTGGAACGCCGTCTTGTGGAAGAGCTCGAGATCGGGGTTGGGCTTGAGGGTGCGGTTGCCACTGAACCCAACCCAAAGACAGAGCTTGACTCCGTAGATAGAGTGTCAGCAGATGACGTCGGTACCGGGATGGGTATCACGATCGGGGGGCTGGCGGAGTTTGCATCCAACGTCGGAATAGTGTTTGGACCTGGAACCGTAGTTTGGCTTCCAGCTATATCAATCGCACTGCTGGAAGGCCCGGTTGTGGGAATAATCGAGATGGGTAGGACCACAGGCGATGGTACAGTAGATGTGCCTAGGTCTGTGGGGGGAGGGGGAGGGGGAGCAGGAACTGGAGCAATAGTCGCAATTTCGGGAGCAGTCGAACTCAAGGCCACCAGCGGGCTGGAGATTATCGTGGAGCTTAGCACCACAGGCGAGCCTTCGACGGAAATGCCACCTACTCCCGAAGCACCAGGTGACGTGGACGAGCTGATCAGTGTGAGTGCACTCGAAGCAGTCGGAATGATCGGTACGACAGAAGAGCTTGAATCAACAGCTATAGGTAGTGCTTCGATGGAAATAGAGCTTGCGAGGGGAGAAGAAGTTCCAGCCACAATCGTAGGCAAGCCTGAGCCTATGTTTGTAGGTTGGCTGACGCTTTGCACTACCTCTGTTGATGTTGTTATTCCAATAGGAGCTGCAGAGTTTACAAGCGTAGAGGGGCTGGCAAGTTCAGAGGAGCTTGCAGCTGTAGATATACCAACGGGTGAAATGCCCTCTATCACAATCGAGCTTGTTGTCAAAGAGCTTGGAGCTATAGAGATGCTCACAATCTCCACCACGATTGAGCTTGTACCGGTAGCAATGATAACGGTCGAAGCGGCCTCTACCACGACAGAGCTTGTACCAGTAGCAATGACAGCGGTGGAAGCGGTCTCCACGACGATTGAGCTTGCACCAGTGGCGCTCACGACACTAGAGAGGCTTGTGGCTTCAAGGGAGCTTGCGGGCAAAGCACTTGTATCTGTAGCAATACCGATGGTTGAAGCGCCCTCTACGACAATTGAGCTCGCGACAGTAGCGCTCTGGATGTTGGAGGGATTCGTAGCTTCAAGGGAGCTTGCTGTCAGAGAGTTTGTACCGAGAATAACTCCAGGGGATGAAGCACCCTCTACCACAATTGAGATTGCAGTCGAAGAGCTGGTATCTGTAGAGATGGCAAGGGTAGATGCGCCCTCCTGACCAATTGAGCTCGCGACAGTGGCACTGAGAATGCCGGATGGACCTGCAACTTCAGACGAGCTTGCAGGCACAGGGTTTGTGACGGTAGGAACGCCCTCTACGACAATTGAGCTTGCCGCAGGAGTGCTCAGAGTGCCAGAGAGACTTGTGGCTTCAGAAGAGCTGATGCCAGAAGAGCTCAAAAGTGTGGTCGCGCCCACGGCCTCAATTGAACCGGTAGCGGTTGAACTCGTTACACCAGACACACTTGTAAGCCCAGAGATGTTGGAAGTGTCAGATGGGAGCACAACTTGAGAGCTTACACCTGCAGATGCGGTCGTAATTTCAGTTGGGCTTGATACCAGAGAACTTTCAGCTATCGAGCCTCCAGCCGTTGATGAGCTCAAAGCTGCATCAGAAATCAAAGCCTGCGAAGAGCTTACAACCGCAGACGTTGCGCCAGAGATCACTGTCTCGGAAGAGCTTGCGACAATAGAGCCTTCAACACCAAGGGAGCTTGCAATTGTGGAGCCTGCAGTTGCTGCATCAGACGCTGTAGGACCCACGGGGATAGTAGCGGTTGGGTTTAGAATATCAGATAAGCTTGCCACAGTAGACCCTTCTACTCCAAGGGAGCTTGCAATTGTGGAGCCTGCAGTTGCTGCATCAGACGCTGTAGGACCCACGGGGATAGTAGCGGTTGGGTTTAGAATATCAGATAAGCTTGCGACAGTAGACCCTTCTACTCCAATAGAGCTTGCAATTGTGGAGCCTGCAGTTGCTGCATCAGACGCTGTAGGACCCACGGGGATAGTAGCGGTTGGGTTTAGAATATCAGATGAGCTTGCCACCGTAGAGCTCAGGATATCAGACAAGCTTGCGACAGTAGACCCTTCTACTCCAATAGAGCTTGCAATCGTAGAGCCTGCAGTTGCTGCATCAGACGCTGTAGGACCCGCAGGGATCGTAACGGTCGGGTTCAGGATATCAGATGAGCCTGCAACTGCCGAGCTCGGGACTTCGGACAAGCTAGCACTTGTAGGGCTTGCTATGACAGGACCTTCAACCCCGGAGGAGCTGGCGACTGTGGGACCGGCAATTGTAGGGCTAGTGACCTCAGAGGTAGGAGCCGTAAAGCTAGCAACCGTAGAACCTTCGACTCCGATTGAGCTGGCGACTGTAGAGCCTTCAATGCCGATTGAGCTGGCGACTGTAGAGCCTTCAACTCCGACCGAGCTGGCGACTGTAGAGCTAGCGATCCCAGAGCTGACAACATCAGAGCTAGCGACCCCAGAGCCAGCAAGTGTAGAACTAGCGACTATAGAACCTTCAACCCCGAGAGAGCTAGCAACCACAGAGCTTGCACTTGCTACATCAGACGTTGCAGTCCCCGACACGGTCGCGACTGTAGAACTCAACGACTCCGTAGAGCCTACAGCTGTGACACTTTCAAGACCAGATGACGTCGCAAGATCGGATGGATTTGGCGCAGTCAAGGTTGCAACCAGAGACGAGTCTGAGGATGCAATGGTGACTGTATCAGAGACCAGGACAGACAATGTGCTCGAGAGTTGTGAAGAAGCTTCAGTCACGATAGATTCTGGAGCTGTAGACCCGCTTGCGGCTAGAGATGTTTCTGTAATCGCAGAGGAAGATTGGTCAGCGGGTAAGCTGGATGCCAGGATTGTCGATGACCCCTGGATGACGAGGGAAGAAGATGATAGCTCTGAAGGACTTGGTATGACAATCGTGGCAGAATCAGAGCCTGGTGCAAACGTCGAGCTTGCACCTGGTGTTGCTGCAGTATCAATCGACGTTGTCGAGCCCGAGATCACTTCTACTACGATGCTTGACTCCCCACTTGGAACGGAGCTCAATACAGAGACTGAGGAGGATACCGAGTCTGAATTTGCGATGATGGTAATAGAGACATCTGTGACTGGCCCTGTTGACGAAATGGGGCCTGGAGCCGTGATGGGGCTTGTATCTGAGGCTAGTGTAGATATGGAGCCTGTGTCTTGTACTGTTATTGAGCTCACACTCGAGATAGGCGTGGGCCCTGTGGTCGATTCCAGAGGGACAATGGAATCTGTGACGGAACTCGATTGTGTTGTAACACCCAATGGTACCGACGCAGAGCTTGATTCACTCTCGTCTCCGGGTAACGGAAGTACATCCATCGTATTTGTTGCAGAGGTGATTGAAGCCAGAACAGAACTAGAGCCTTCACTGGGTTCCACGGTAGAGCCAACATCTACAGTTGGTGCCGATGTTATGGCTGCGGCGTCTGATATTGTACCTGAGCTTGGCACTGGAAGTACCTCAATGATAATACTGGATCCTAACACAGAGGACGTGCCGAGGATCGGAGCAGTAATAGAGTCTGAGTTCACTGGCAAGTCAACACTTGACTGCACAATCGAGCTTGCGCCAGAAGTAACAGTTGAAGACGACAAACTTTGGTCTTGTCCCAGTGTTGAGCTTATGGTTGCAATGGGAGAACTCAATCCCGAGGCCGTCAAGACGTCAACGCTTGAACTCACTGCAGGCGTGAGAATGGGCACGATCGTTGAGCTCAACTCTGAGCTCGCCACCGACACGACGGCACTTGTCTCCAGACCAATTGTAGAAGATGCACTAAACACCACCGAGACTGAACCCTGACCGATAATCACGCTAGAGTCCAAGACAGTCGCAGTTGAGGAGCTGACGAGGCCGGTGAGGGTTGAGTCGAGGCTCGATATTCCGATGGATCCAGCATCTGTTGCGCTGGCAAGCGAAGTCAACGAACCAATATTTGTCGAGTCGGAAGAGACAGCAGATATGTCTGAGGGTGTGACTGAAGCCTGTGAGAGTGTTGCGGAACTCGAGTCTGCTGGCAATGGGTTTGAACTAGCTTCTACGGTAACAACAGAAGCTGATCCTGCCGTAATTATAGATGTACCAGAGTCGACTGCAGTTGTAGCTGCACTTATCGATGCACTTGTGCTTATCGCAGCATCTGATATTACCACTGATCCTGGTGGGGATGTGGGCTCAGACATTACCGGAGTAACAAAAGAACCGGTCTCCGATGTTGCAGCAATGGTAGTCCCAATCTCAGAGGTTGAACTCGATACTACAATGCTGGAGATCAGGGATTCCGTCGAGGACCCAAGTGGGCCTAAACTGAAACTACTGCTTGATCCAACATTGTTCAGATCAGTGATCGAAGTCAATCCTTGGTCGCTAGTAACACTAATACTGGCAGTGCTTGCAATTGGGCTCGCAATGAGACCTGAATCTGTTGCCGTCGAACTCGATATGATGCTAGCGTCCGTAGAATTTGATATGAAACCTGAATCCGTCGCAACAATACTGGAGCCCGATTCCGTAGGAATGACAATTGAGCCAGCATCTGTGATTACACCGCTTGTATCAGCATTCGTGAGAGTCGCGCTCGAGGCCGAATCCGTGATGCTAGTTTCCAGCCCGGAAGCTGTAGTGAGAGCGCTTGTGCCAGAAGCTTGTGTATTAGCGACTGAATTCGAGTCTGTCGGAGTTGAGATCGAGACAACATCTGTTGTGCTGGCAGTCGAAGCACTATCTGTCAAGCTTGAAAGTAAGCTTGAATCTATGGTGCTTACTGACACACCAAGATCTGTAATGCTTATAACCGAGCTCAAAGCCGTAGTGCTTGCGGTCGAACCAAGTTCTGTCACGCTTATAATTGCACTAGACTCTAAGACTGTGTTGTCTGATGTTGTGCTAGCACTGCTAGCAATCGAACCAGCTTCTGATGCGCTTGCACTGATCCCGGATACGGGTACAGATACATCCGATGCTGATACGCTCACAGATACATCTGCTTGTGATATGCTTGCAGGTACACTCGTTTGCGGTGCGCTTGCAGATACATCAGTTCCTGATGTGCTTGCAGAGTCACTGAGAACTGGAGTAACGACGCTCACGCCAGATTCTGTAGGAGCAGTTGAGCCGGCAATTGATGAGATGGCGGAATCAGTGCCTATCGTGATGGAGCTAGATAGCGAGGATGCAACTGTTGCAGTATCGACAATTATAGGTGACACAGAGTCAAGAACAGAAGTCGAGGAACTGCTGACGACTGAAACCGGGAACCCTTCCTGAGATATAATTGAGTCTGTGGCCTGAGGGGCAATGGACGAGTCCGAACTTGCGGCTGATGAGACGCCTGCAGAGATAGTCGAAGAGACAGCCGGGACAGTCGCAGAGTCTGCGGAGATAGCTGAACCAAGCTCTGTCGCAGTGATAGCCATGGAACTAGAGGCACTAGCCAATGAACTTAGATCTACCCCAGCGGTCGAATTAGGCCCCGTGATACTGCTTGAGATAGAGGCGATGATGATCAACGAACTGGAATCCGAAACACTCGACAAAATGGAACCTGGAACAATCGACGTGGTGTTGCCTACGAGTGTAATGGATATAGGTCCTTCGGATGTCGCAGAAGCTAACTCTGAAATTCCGACTGAGCTGAGACTTTCTGATGCCGCAGTGATTGAGCTGATTCCTGCATTTGTGATGGAAGTAGAATCTGCAAGTGATTCTGCGCTAGATTCTAGTAGTACGGAGGACGAGGAGTCTATAATAACGACCGTAATAAAGCCTGACAAAGGAGTCGAGCTTGTTGTAGGAGCATCTGATGCCGTTCCTGAGGATGTAATCGATATGGACGCAGTGGTACCGGAATCTGTAACGGCTTCTGATGACGATTCTGTTGATACAATTGACGGTTCGCCTGTGAGCTCGATGAATACGGAATCTGTGGGTTCGGTCGATACGGAGCTCGAGCTACCGCTTGTCTGTGGCAGTATGAATGTTAGCGCTTTGAGTGAACGAGACTCACACGATGAAGAACATACAAGTTGGATTCCTGAAATAGTGATCGAGAGTGATTCCTGTTGTCATATCAGCACACTGCTCAAAGACAGTCAAACGACGTTCCGCGCTCAAAAGTAATGGTCTGCAATCATAAAATCTGGACATCTAGAGTCTGCTCGTTAGTACGCGTTAGTATTGCGAAATCAAAGCGGATAATTGTCGTCTGGCATTATTTGAAAAGGTGAAGAAAAAAGTCGCGTCTCAGTAGTTAGCAGCAACCAAGGTAGATGGAACGCCATGGGTGGTTTTGAGATTTCAAGTTCACCTGTCACAGTTGCCGGAGCAATCTTCCTATCCGGAGTGTCGGAAGGGTACTTCCAGTGCAAGTACCCAGTGACTGGAATGGAGTTCCGCTGGATATCCTGTGCCCCAGGGATAGGGGATCAGAATAAGACTCATTGGAATGTACCACAATGCCAGTCCATAGGTCGTGAAGAATGGTCTTGCAACCTCGCAACTCCCGAATCAAACACAAACCCCAAGCTCTCGACGCGTTTGCGCGTTACCTGGCATAAATATTTCTACATCAGATATTGCCACTTTTCGGGACCTGTGAGGACACAAGACGTGACGTGATCTGGCAAGAAGATCCACCGCCTTGAATCTCGCACTTTCTCACTCACCCATAGACAGAGCGGAAATTATGAAGACATGGTTGATTCGGAAAAGGCGGCAACACGTCCTGTGATCTTCCACCGTAACTTAGGTCGGTGCTGCTGCTTGCCTTCGGCCCTGCGTGAAGAAATTAGGATTCTGGGCAGTCATCACCAGCGTCATGGGGGGGGGGGCTTCGTGGACCAGAAAAGGCACATCTATATTGGACGGAGAGGAGATCCAATATAGGGGGTGTTTGGTTGCACGATCCTACGATATGCGGAGATGATCACATCACTGGCGATTGGGACAAGGGCGGACGTCGAGAGTGGAAGCTCGATGTTGTAGAAAGGGGATGTGCAGATGGCGCTAGTCTAACCGAGACACACCAAGCAAACTTCACGATACAACGCGTCGCGGTCTGCTATCCTCTATCAGTAGAACGACCCACACGGTCATGAGTAAGTATCCGCTGCAGAGTAACTCATCTATTTTGACAACAACAGGATCAGGATTCGAGGCTACGACCACTCTTCCTTCACGCCTCGGAAGCCCAGTACTGTCGACAAAGGAAGCACCTGATCAATGCACGAAACCTGCTATCGTTGGATGCAGATTCAGGCCTGTTGCCGACAGTCAGTCTCATCTTGGCAATACATCATCCCGGAACAAAGCTAGGCGAACTACCCGGTCTCGGGAAAGTTGTCTACTTTCCAAAGTAAAGATCGCTGGTATCTAAATCCCAAGTACCCACACTGCAGACTGGCTCAATTTGGCCATCATTCGACCTTGCGCGAGCTCCATGGTCAACAAAGATGTATAAACACCTTCTGATTTCTCCTAACACTGTAGGCGTACAAGTACGCTGTGTCGTGCGTCAGCTGCTAGAACACTCTCCTTTTACCATTAGCCGGGCTCGACCCATGACCTCAGCCTCAACTCTCAACCCGCTTGAGTAATCAATCCCATCCCACCCCATCGGAGTTGTAGCTGCATTTGTACACTAACGCCATGCCAATGGATCCTGAGTCCTGTTATACAACAGCCATTACTAGTACGCATTTGCTTAAGCAAGACACTCATAATGTACTCGATCCTTGCAATTGCGGGGTCTGCGTACAAGGCACTATTTGGAGTATATATTAGTCTTCTCTCAAGATGATTTCAGGAGTCAGCTGCGTGGAGTCGTTCAGCGCGTCCTTCTTTTGATCGTTTTCCGTCTCTCCTTTACCATGCTATCGCTTACACTTCTTTCTGTTGCATCAATTGTGTCTGGCGCAGCAATTGAGCAACGCGATCCGGTACCCAGTGGATATGTTGCCGCTCCATATTATCCAGGTCAGTCCCACAGCGCAACTACAACCGTTAATGGCTTGCCGTATTCCTTCCTAGCATGTGCTAAGTAGCTTTAGCCCCGCATGGTGGCTGGATCTCGGACTGGACCGAAAGCTATCGGAAAGCGGCTCTGCTTGTGTCGAACATGACATTGGCTGAGAAGACGAACCTCACAGCAGGTAGTGGTATTTTCATGGGCAGATGTGTGGGTAATACCGGCAGTGCCCTGAGAGTGGGGATTCCACAGCTATGTCTTCAAGACGGCCCGCTGGGTGTTCGAAACACAGATCATAACACAGCCTTCCCTGCTGGAATCACCGCTGGTGCAACATGGGACAAAGACCTCATCTATCGCCGCGGAGTCGCCATTGGTGAAGAGTTTCGTGGCAAGGGTGTCAACATTCATCTAGGGCCGAGCGTTGGTCCTTTGGGTCGGAAACCTCGTGGTGGCAGAAGTACGTATCATCAAACACTCTGTGTTCAGCTCTCAGTGCCTGATTCCGTATAGACTGGGAAGGATTTGGCTCGGACCCGGTGCTTCAGGCATTCGGTGGAGCGTTGACCATTGAGGGTGTTCAAAGCGTTGGCGTGATTGCTACGCTTAAGCATCTGATCGCGAATGAACAGGAGCAGTACCGCATGTACAACCTGGTCAAGCCTGGTATTTCCTCAAACCTGGATGACCGCACTCTCCATGAACTCTATCTATGGCCCTTTGCTGAAGGCGTTCGATCTGGCGTTGGATCCGTAATGATCGGATACAATGCTGTTAATGGATCAGCTTGCTCTCAAAACAGCTATCTGATCAACGGTATCCTCAAGGATGAACTGGGTTTCCAAGGCTTTGTTATGTCGGATTGGCTTTCCCAGATCTCAGGTGTCGGCTCTGCCTTGGCTGGTTTAGACATGTCCATGCCAGGAGATCCTCACACCGTGCCGCTTTTTGGGAGCTCCTATTGGATGTACGAGTATAGCCGTTCTATCCTGAATGGCTCGATACCAGTGGATCGACTTGACGACTCTGTCGTCCGTATACTTGCGGCTTATTTCCAGATGGGTCAAGATCAAAATTACCCTCGTCCTAACTTCGATACCAACACGCAGAACGCCGAAGGGCCATTATACCCCGGTGCACTATTCTCTCCAAGTGGTGTAGTCAACGAATTTGTGGATGTCCAGGCCGATCATGCAGTCGTCGCACGCGAAGTCGCTCGCGATGCTATTACATTGTTGAAGAACCAGGATGGCCTTTTGCCCTTGACTCCTAATGCGACATTGAAGGTTTTTGGAACAGATGCCGAGAAGAACCCAGACGGGATCAATTCGTGCGCCGACCAGGGGTGTAACAAAGGCACTCTGGGTATGGGCTGGGGCAGCGGATCAGCTCGTTATCCTTTCATGAATTCGCCCATTGACGGTTTCAAGGCCCGTGGGGCGACCTATCAGTTCTTCAACACTGATAGCTTCCCGTCAAATTCAAACCCATCACCCGATGATATGGCTGTTGTTTTCGTCACCGCTGATTCAGGCGAGAACTATATGTAAGTTGGCGTGCGTATTGTATATCAACAAAGTCACTGACTTTTTCCGCAGTACCGTTGAGAACAACCCCGGTGACCGAACTTCGTCCAACCTGAATCTATGGCATAACGGTGACAAGCTTATCAAAGATGTTGCAGCAAAGTACTCGAATGTCGTTGTGGTAGTCCACACAGTCGGTCCGATCCTCATGGAGGAGTGGCATGATCTACCCGCTGTCAAGGCTATCCTATTCGCTCACTTACCTGGACAAGAGGCCGGAGCTTCACTGATGGATGTGCTTTACGGTGATGTGTCACCATCCGGACATCTTCCATACACTTTGCCGAAAGCCGAAAGCGATTACCCGGCCTCTCTCTCCTTGGTCGGCTACCAGATTGGCCAGCCTCAGGATACGTTCACAGAGGGCCTCTATATCGATTACAGGCATTTTCAGAAGGCCAATGTCACTCCTCGCTATGCTTTCGGTCATGGTTTAAGTTATACGACCTTCAACTTCTCCGACGCCACCATTACTGCTGTGACTCCATTGTCTGCATCGCCACCTGCTCGCCCAGCGAAAGGCGAGACACCAGCGTACTCGACCACAATTCCTCCAGCCTCGGAAGCTTACTGGCCAGAGAACTTCAACCGCATCTGGCGATACCTTTACTCATTCCTCGAGAAGAATGACGCTGACGATGCTGCGAAAGCAGCAAATTCGACAACAAAGTACCCGTATCCAGCTGGCTACTCTAATGTGCAAAAACCTGGTCCTCCGGCAGGTGGTGCTCAAGGTGGAAATCCAGCCCTCTTTGATGTTGCCTATGACATCTCTGTCACTGTTACCAACACGGGAGATCGTGCAGGCAAGGCAGTCGCGCAACTCTACGTGCAATTCCCCAGTACACAAACTATCGACACGCCGATACTGCAGCTACGCGACTTTGCAAAGACGAGGACGCTGGCGCCTGGTGCGAGTCAAAGATTGCAGTTGAGGGTGACGAGAAAGGATCTCAGTGTTTGGGATGTTGTCTCTCAAAACTGGGTGATTCCAGTTGTCGAGGGCGACTATGGAGTCTGGATTGGCGATAGCTCAGACAGTTTGAGCCTCAGGTGTGGCACGGCGAGTGGAAGTTGCGTGGGAGATTTGGCGAGCCCTGTCTAAGCCTCCCAAGGCAGGGGGAGGCACATTGTCCTTTTCAAGTAGAAAGACCTGGCAAAGAAGTGCCCACCTCGACCAAAAGCTATACTTGGCAACCGTTGTCACAGAGTAGTAGTCGTCTTGAGTCCTGAGTGCCCAGTAACTATTTCGAAACCATGTGATGATCACTTTCTTGGCCCAGGTCAGAGATGTGCATGGCTATGGTACGGTACCTACCCTACTTGTGGTGTAAGCTTCCGACGGAAGGATGATGACCCGTCCCAGCCGGAGGACTGTTTCCGCGGCCCAATGAAGTCGAGATGAACAGGAATTGCAGCAAAGGATGGCTGAACTTAGTCACTGCACTGTCCTGGGCTTACCGGTTCCTGGCCATTCGGAGGCCGAGTGGGGGCTGCCATTGAGGCTGTGCGGGGGACGGCTCGCAGCCGATGCACGAACGGTCGTCCTGTGCAACCACGACCGCCAGAGCTTAGCATGGCAATCGTCGAGTCTTCAAGGACCACGGCGGACTCGACAATCCGTCGTTCAGAAGTCGGCTATGCTTGGTTCTTAGAATAGAGTAGTACGGATGCTGTTTGGATACCGTAGAACCAAAGGGACCATAGGTACCGTGTTGCTGTAGTTAGGTATACCGGTACTGTGGAGAAATGCTTGGCTGTCAGCTGTACTTGATGGTACATCTGAACTCACAACAGCTGTCAATGCACACAACGCAAACGGTCTCGATTGTCAACTGTCTCCACGGATAATATAGAAACGGCCGACTGTTTGGGTGAGGGGAGCAGCAGTTCGTGGGCGCGTCTGGGTGTGCCTACATGGTAAGTTGACTTGGCACGTGCGCCACCACTAGGTAGGTAGCTCATGCGCTCCGGTAGTTTGAGTATCATGTGACTTGCCACTGCTACATCCTGATGGCACAAGACAAGTAACGTGATCCTCAAACTAGCCGAGATAACTAGTTAGTACCATGCTCCTCCCGGTAGGTTATCCGCATCTCGCTCACATCCGTCAGCGATCTGTTTCATGAAACACCAACAACACTCGCGCCCACACGGTGACCCACCGCGCTTGGTCCCGAGCGTCTCGCGGGCTGCTTCCGAGGCCGCATCTTGACATGTCTTTTTGTGCATACTGGACTGCGAGGGCGCAGTTCATATGACCATGGAATTAGCGCTGCGTGAACTCGTATTTGGCATGGGGTTAGGCTATGCCAAGCTCTACTAGCTAGCTAAGCAAGGTTAACTAAATATTATACTATAAGATTTTATAACACGTTCTAAACCTATTCTAAATATATTCTATACTAGTAATACTATAAGCTACTACTACTATACTTATTACTAATATATCCCTTATATCTTATATAAGTAGATTAAAATATATTTAGAATATATTCTTAATAGGTTATAGAAGCACTATTAATAATACCTTGCCCTTAGCTACGTTCTAGATAATATTAGGGTATAGCCTATAGTTAGCCCTAATAGGGCAGTTAAGATAGAGAGTAGAGAGCGCTACTACTATACTAAGATTAATAATAAGGGCACCTTATATAGAGTAAGAATAGGTTCTAAATATATTCTAAATAGGTTCTAATATTCTTAGGCTATTCTAGGTACTAGGGGCACTCTATATACCTATGCTAAAAAAGATTATAGGCTTAATATAGCCTACTATAAGGTTAGTAAGGTTAAGAAGACTAGCTAGCCCTTTATAAGGGAGGTCTATAAGGTAAAGAGTAAATATATTATTAACCTATTCTTAACTTATTATATTAATATATATAGACTTCTATATAAAGGTTATATATAATTACTAGAATACTCCTTACTATAAGTTATTTAGAATATATTTAAAACTTATTACTAACTTATTTTATAGAAGTTCTCTAAGCCTAGCTAGTAGCTACTATAGGCCCCCTTATAAATACTAATACCCTCCTAAATATAATTTAGAAGAAGACTTATACTAGCTATAATAGTAATAAGGTATAGCCTATAAGAACCTATTAAAAATATATTACTAACTTATTATAGCTTAACTTTATTACTATATCTACCCTACTAAGGATTTAAGGTTATTAGGTTCCTTATACTATCTACGCTTATAATTATCCTAGCTATAGTAAGTTATTTATAATATATTATTAACCTATTCCTAATATATTTTAAGACTATTACTTTAATACTAGTATAGACCTTACTAATTCCTGCTAGAATACCGCCTAGTTCCACTTGCGGTATGCTTTTATAGAGCCTAGGGAGGATAGGGAGGATAGAGAAGATACTAGAGAGGGGGAGGGAGATAATAATAGTAATAAGTAGGAATATATTAAGAATATATTAAGAATAGGTTCTAATAAATAATATATAATAGTATATAACCTAAAGGGGTAGTAGTAATTACTAAAATAAACTCTCTACTCTTCTCTTTTTTTTTCTATCTACTAAAAGTAAAGTACTATTTACTTTTATAGGGTCCTTTAATAGTATATAACTTTTTCTTTTAACTTTTATAGGTATTATAAAGCTTTAGTAGTCCCTTAGATTAAAGAAGAATCTAGTATTTATAGGTGTCTAGCTATAATATATTATTAATATATTCTAAATATATTTTAAGAGACTAGACTTATATCTCCTTTTTACTACTTTTGCTAAATATTATTTATAGTATAAAGGGGAGTAACTATTTACTTCTTTTCTTTACTCTCTACTTCCTCTTTAGCCTCTACTCTAGCTACTACTTCTTATTATAGACTAGCTATCTTAGAGGGTTCTTAAACCTTAAAGGAGGCACTTAGTGTAGTCTACTCTACTAGTAGAGAATATATTATTAACGTGTTTAGAATATATTCTTAAGTATTTACTATTAAGCTCCTATAGAAGATCCTTGCTTCTATAATACTTTATATTATAATTCTGCTATAGTTTACTAGGGCTATTTAAACCTTAGGATAATACCTCTTAAGGTAGTAGATAAGATTACCTCTATTAGAGAAGTAATACTAAAATAGTTATTAATATATTATAAACATGTTCTAACTTATATATATATATACTCTATAAAGTTCCTATACCCCTAATCTAGCCTAAATAGCCTAGTAGAAAAGCTCGCTAGGAAATACTATACACCTATTATTTAGGTAGGATATTATAGGAGAGAATACCTTAGTATTAGATAGAAGTAACTTAAGCTTAATATATTACTAGTATAAATCCTACTTAGTATTAGAACAAGTTTATAACGTGTTCCTAATGCGTTCTATTATATACTAACTTTAAAAGATCTTTATAGACTATATTAACTAGTTATATCTAATAATATTAGGAAAGATAGATAGTAAAATAGTATTAAACTCTTAAATATAAAAAGTTCTTATAGAGTGTAAGAAGAAAGAAGAAGAAAGAGAAGAAGAAAGAATATATATTTATCTACTTATATATACTTATATAATAGACTAGAATATATTAAGAACTAGTTAGAAACTAGTTACTATATTTATAGACTAACCCTACCTTATATAAAAAGTAGCTATCTCTTTCTTAAGTTTAAACTATACCTTTTATAATTTAAATAGTGCCTTTTTCTATATAAGTTCTTCCTTATCTACCTCTAGCTTTTCTTTTCTCTTCTTTAGAGCCTAATTACTAAGAAGAGCCTTTTATTATAAAGTTTATAGTTATAGACTAATAATAAGTTAGGAATATGTTATAAACGTGTTTTGCAAAGCATACCTTTAGGTTACTATTAGTAGAGGAGAAGAGCCTAGTAGTAGAGAAGATAGAAAAGGGGCTAGTAAACTTCTTTCTAATACTACTCTACTACTTGCCCTCTAGCTTTAGGCTTTTAAGCGTACTCTTTTATTTCTTATTAGGACTAAGATATATCTAGTTAAGTTAGATATAGCAAGACTTGCTTTATTATTATCTAGAGTATTATTATTATTATAGGACGCGTTCTAAATATATTCTAAATATATTTTAATTAGCAAATATATATAATACTAGCGTAAGACTTACTTTCTCCCCTTTAAAGCTTTTTAAGGTACCTTTGCTTAAGCCTATTAGGAGTTCTATAGTTATAGTGTATTCTAAACTTGCTCTAGGCTTTAAACTCTTTTATATCCTATAGATCTATCTAGTGTACACTATATAATATTACTTATATAATTCTAATAGGTTAAGAATAGGTTATAAACTTACTTCTAAGTAGCCTTAAGAATACTTACATGCTTACTAGTTTTATATCCTTTCTAGCCTGCTTGCTTAGCTATATTTAAATAAGATTCTAGTTTTTTCTATACCTCTTTTAATATTTTACTATAGTATTATATAATCCTAGTAGTAATTACTAGGTTTTTCTTATAGATTACCTAGTTTTAGGTATCTTTAGAGGGTTTATATTCTAATTATATAAGAATAAGTTATAAATATATTTAGAATAGGTTTAGAATATGTTTACTTACGTAAGAGGAGGTTAGCAAGCTAAAAGTATTCCTCTACTATTAATACCTGTAGTAATTTACTTAGATATAAAGAGGTAGTATTATCTAGCTCTCTTTTATATACTTTATAAATACTTCTTTATAGATATACTTAATAAAATCTTATATAAGATTAAAGTTGCTAGCGCTAGTTATACTTATAAGGATTAATTAACTAGAGATAGCACTTAAGTCCTAGAAACAAGTTAGAAACACGTTATAAATAGGTTATAGTGCGCTATAAAACTTGCTTATTATCTACTTATTATATATATTAATAGTAGTCCTATAGAATCCCTATAAGTAAATATACCTCTATAACACTTATCTTTTTATAAGTGCTTTACACTTCTAAAAGAAGTTAGTAATAGCAACTTAATATATCTTAGTTATATCCTTATCTATAATAATTTAGCTAAGTATAATAACTATAACGTGTTAGAAACGTGTTATAAACCTATTCTTAATACGTACACTTCTTTTCACCTATAGGTAGAAGATTACTATTAGAATCTCTACCTATGCCCTATATAACCTCTTATATAATATATCTATCTAGAACGTGTCTTAATCTAATAGAATTAATACCTACTCTTTAAAAAGGTAAATAATTAAGTTACTTAAGCTTAATATAAAGATTTGCTATATATACGCCTATAGTAATATATTAGTAATATATTCTAAACCTATTCTCTTATACTATATATAGTTTTAGGATCCTAATACTTTATCCTCTACTTATAGTATACTCCTTTAAGGCTACTCTTAAATAGGAACTATAAAAGCTTTTTATACTTTATAATACGCAAGATTTTATCTTTATTTATAAAGCTAATATATATTTCTTTAATAGAATAGAAACCTTTAAGTTAGAGATAGGTTTAGAGCTAGGTTAAGTTTAGGAACTAGGCTATAATAAGTTAGGAATATATTTATAATAGGTTATAAATAACTTATATTATATAAGCTATAGAGTAAGTATAGGCTATAATACCTTTACTACTTCCTTAATATTACTATTAGATAGTGTTAAGGGAGGAGGAGGTATATATATATATATACTAAAAGAAATAATAGTAAAAAAAGGTATTACTACTATATCTATTAGTATAATTACTTAGAAGGTAACTTTATATAGGATTTTAAATAGAGATCCTTACCCTTATAGATAATTAACGCCTAGAATATATTAGGAATATATTAGGAATAGGTTGCAATATACCTACTACACTTCTTTATCTAGCTTAACTATAGCTTAACTATAGAATATAAAGCAGGACTACTAGAAAGATTTAATATCTCCCTAGTTAGAAGACCTTATAGATATATAGAGTCTACCTCTAGTAGTACCTAACTAAAATAATATTTTTTCCTAGTAGTAGATATTAGGCTATAGTTCTAATAGCTAATATATAGTTAAGCCTATTCTATAATTTACTAACTTATTATTAATATATTTTAAATATATTTAAGTTTTGCTCCCTACCTAATTTACTATAGTCCTTATTATAGGATAATAAGACACCTAGTAGTCCTTATAAATCCTTAAAGAGAAGTGCTTAATAAGGCTATAATAATAGCTTCTTGTTTATAGTTCTCTTTATAGAATTTTCTTAGGTACTATACTTTTTAAGGTTTAGATCTAATTATATAATATATTATTAATAATATAATAAGAATATATTTATAATATATTCTTAAGATACTTACACGCTTTTACTCTAGAGTATTAGTATTTATACTAGCTTGCTAGCTAGCTATTAAAGAATAGTAAAGTTATAGGCCTATTAAGATAGATAGACTAGCAGGAGTATTATACCTACTAGAATTAGAATAATTTAAGAACATGTTCTTAATATATTACCTATATAGCCTATATAAGCACCTCTTCTCTTATTAGGTAAGAGCTATCTTTATATTACTAAACTAGTATTATATACCTATACCCTTAGCTATATAATTAAGGGTATACTAGGAGAATAGCTATATACTTAATAATTACTAGTGTAAGTAGTAGTCCTTAACTATTACTATAAGTAAGGTATATATTATACCCCTATAACGTGTTACTAACCTATTCTAAACTTATTCTATTTACTTTTACTTACTTCCTTAATACTACTACTACTATCCTCCTCTAGCACTTTATATAGTTACCTAAATTTATCTCTAATATTACTATCTAGTTTAGATATATTATCTAGTACTACTATACTAAACTCTAGTATAGTATTTAGGAACGCCTATATATTATTAAGAATAGGTTTAGAATATATTTAAAAAAGATAGTAATAAAAACTATGTTTACTTGCTTAAATTACCTTAATTTATACTTAACTATAGGCTAGTTTATATAACTATAAAAATTTGCCGCTATAACGTGGACTTGAACCTACAGGGATATTCTAACCACTTGGAGTAAAGCCCAAGTCGCCCGACGCTAAACCCATGGTCATATGACATGCCACCACCTGGACTGCCGTGCTATTCTCGACCTCGCTCCCTTGGCTCCCTCTCTCACCACTCACACACTCTCTCACACTCTCTCTCTCACACACTCTCTCTCTCGCTCTCTCGCTCTCGCTCTCCGCGCACTGCTGCTTAGGGAACAGGCTCGCTGACCTTCCAATTGCTGACCTTCCTTCTCTCATGCCGCATGCTTACCCTTCTCCTCCCCTCCTCCCTGCTACCCACATTGCGCGTGCAGTCTTTCTGCAGGTCCCTGGAGGCTCAGCCCTACTCCAAGTATTGATGACTTGAGACTGGAGCGTCCTACTGCAGTCTGGCTTCCTGAGGCTTAACGGATCCTTGTGTCACGCCAAGGTCTTTATTTGGGCCTCGTGGACTTGTCCTATCAGCGTCAGATTAGCCGCCCTTCCCCTCCCCCATCGCCCATCCCTCTGGGTCAGCGTATTCTTAGACGAAATATGCACAGGGCGCTGCGGGCGCGCTCAAACAGGCGCTTCTGTCACAGACATGCTCCCTTGTTCTGGGGAAACAATCGCTTGCTGCTGCTGCGCTGACCATTCACAAGGCCACTTTTGGCCTGACCTGGCCTATTCTGATGGCGCTTGGAGCCCTGGCCCACTGGACAGCCTCCTCTTCGCCTAGTCACACATACCATTCTGGGTAGACAGGAGATCTATCCGGCGATTACAGAAACATATCCTGGTTTCATATCAATTCTCCGAATGGCCGTCTGGCCTTTGTTGTGGTCGAGGCATCATGTGCGGCTCTTCTATAAAGGCCAATGCTATGCCTTAGCAACATGGGCCTTAGACATCCTGAGCCCAAAGGTACGAACATCTGTTCTTTTGTTTCCTTGTTGTGAGAATATCTCCTACCTTTCGTTCTGCCGCTGTCACTCTCGTTCTCCTACGCCTGATCCCTAATCCTAATTCCCATCCCGATTGCTTCACTCTGTCACCTGCTGTTGCTCAGTCTCCGCATTCATCCCATCTCAATCTCACACTCATCTCCGTCTCCTCTCTTATCTCAAACATTTACTCAATATGCCCAAGGCCGATAGAGCTTCGTCATCGCACCATCGCAACTCCGTTTCGACCGTGTCAGCAGCTGGAGGATCAGGCAGTCGAAGCTCGTCATGGACACCCAAGGATGATGAGACGCTCACTCGAGCCAGAGCACAAGGATTGAACTGGAACCAAATTGGACCGAAGCACTTTCCCTCCAAAACACCCAATGCGTGCCGTAAGAGGCATGAGCGATTGATGGAGAGGCAGAACGCCGAGCAATGGGACGGTGTCAAGCTGGACGTCCTGGCACAAGCCTACATGGAAGTCCGCCGAGATATGTGGAGCATTCTTGCGGCACGAGTCGGAGAGAAATGGCAACTAGTCGAGACCAAGGTTCGTTTCCTATCCTATCAGGATATCTGATGGTTTCGACGAAAAGCTGACTTGGCATAGTGCATGGAGAAGGGACTGAAAAACCTTACACAAGCATACAGGTCTGCACAGAAGAAGCAGAATGATGGTACCTACCACGGCCATGAAGACAGCGGAATTAGCATTTCTGACCTAGAGGAAGAACATGAGGACCACCATGCGGACTTGCCCACCGTGTCCGAGGCCCACTACTCGGCTTACCCTGTGGGATACCCTTCGCAATCACAACAACAGCGAGTACCCAGTATTCAGTCCATGCTGCAACCCATGCAACATCCAATGCAGCCCATGCAACAACACACGATGCAGCAGCCGATGCAGCAACCTATCCAGCATGCGATGCAACCATCACTACAGCAGCCTATGCAACAACCTGTACACTATTCATCGCATCACTCCGCCCATCACATTCAACACCAGCAATGAGCCTTGAGCTAGTTGCGCAACCTAGCTTCATCCTTCTTGTCCATCTTCTTCTTTCCTTGTCACGATCGCTACGAATTTCCATGCGCTCTCTTAACATAGCGGAGCGCATTACTATCTCTATACCCACCCTCGGTACCTAACTGACATGTCTCACGGCCTTCCGCTCACTGGCAAGAGCCCTCTCTCGCTGCCTCATCTTCGCTTCTCTGGACGAGTTTCACCTAGTTCAGTCTCTTCCCTGCCTTGTCAATTGTACGCTAGATTGGGCAATCGGAACTGTAACAAGGGCATGAACTGGGTGGACTGCCATTTGTAACCATTTCCACACTGTTTTTCTTTGCGCTTTTCATGGCGCCCACCTTCTCACTCTTTACGCATGGGCATGAACATGTGCGTGGGGTGATTATCTTAGTCTTTTTTCTTGTAGTTGTGACGAGTTTTCTTTAATTTCAAGATTTTCTTTTCCTTTTCTTCAGTTCATTGTTCATGTTTGAGATTATATGTGCATATGTACTTCTAGGTTTACATTGACTCGATGATACCAAGGGTAAAAAGTAGTTACACTGAATGGATCGAATCACCATACCAGACTATACTTCTCATATGTTCACGGACAAGCCACCTGGAGGAGGGCAATTCCTCTTGCTATACAATATTATGACCGATTAGAAATATTCTCACCACAACTCCCCATAATGTCTGTATCACATGTCCCGGTACCTACCCCACGTACCTCAACACAACCCGCAGAACAATAAGCTCGTCGCTGCAGTCAGCAACCCCCCAAAATAGACCTCACCCGCCCATCAACGGTGCGGCTCTTGTCACAGCCGTTGCGCATGCCACGCAGGCCATGGTGGTCTGTCACATTGGCTCTTGTGAGTCGTGACGCAGCAAACCGACAGACGCTAAAAAAGACAATCATGACATAACCACATCCCAGGAAACGCGAACAGCGCTCCCGCCTCCCAGCAATCCTTCCAGGGGACCGTCCACACAGCAGCCCTCGCCAGGGACGAAGCAGCATGACTGGACGCTGGAATTTTCCATCCTCGAGTGCGCCGAATTTTTCTCCTGTTTTCATTGCTGTTGCACTGGCCGATTGAGCGAGATGCGCGCCCCGCTGCTGCGCGTCCCGTATACAGATCCGTTTCCTGCACCGAGGATTATACCGGCTGGTGCGACGACGGCGAGGGCGGCTGTTGCTGCTTTGGTGGAGTTTTTGAAACCTTGTCTTGAGTCCTCATCGACATCGACATCAGCGACCACAACACCGCAATCCAACATCTCCGCACCCCTCCATCACACCCACAATGCCCCCCGCAAAGCCCTGCTTCTCACCGGCGCAGGCATCTCCGTCGCATCCGGGCTAGCAGACTACAGAGGCACAAATGGAACCTACACGCTGAACAAGAGCTATCGACCCATCTACTACAACGAGTTCTGCGACAGCCACGAGGCGCGGAAACGGTATTGGGCCAGGAGTTTTCTGGGCTGGACGAATTTGGAGAGAGCGAGGCCGAATAGGGCACATGCTGCTTGTGGGGAATTGGGGGACATGGGGGTCGTGGGACATGTTGTTACTCAAAGTACGTTTTGATCGGTTTCAATTCGATACCCATTCTTGCCCCAACGATTGTGA